CTGCTGGGAACGCCAGGCTGTGAGCAGCTCTGTATTTAACAAACCTAATGGAAATTTCCAGGGAGGGCTTAGAGAGCTTAGTGACAGCCATAAAAAGGAAGAAAATAAGAACTTGACTAAGTGGACTTCACTGTCCGTGACTGACGCAGTGTGGAGAATTGCAATTTTTCACCCTGAAGCTGTGGGCAACAAATGTCCTCCTGACTGCATCCACATCCAAGTGGCAACGTGCTCTGTGCTACACAGAGCTTCTACCTTATGCCTTGGAAAACATAAAGTGCTTCCAGCATTTCCATGTCTAGAGTTTGATGGAGCAAAAGTTAAATGCTTACATTACCTGAAAAATATTCATTTCTCCAGTGTAAGCTCTGCTTCTGTGAAATGAATAGTCAGGCCTTGATTTGCAAATCTCCTGGGAAACGTACTTGTGAAAGGCTTGCTAATTTACAAAATTCAAGCAGTATTTTGCAATGGCAGTTAAAAAACCTTTAGGCTTTCTGAAAAAGGAGATTGCACTGTTTTAAATAGGTGTGGTTAAACCAGTGCAAATCTTTAAGCTTAATTGAAAATCTGATTTAAACCAAGGTAATTGTGGTTGTCACACACATCTTGTTGTGTACTTAAGTTGGTTTAAGGTGCGATTATGTGATCAAGTTTCTAAAGCAGGCATGGTTTTAAAACTGGCACTTAACCTGTATAATAGCAGCATTTCTTTGATGAACTCTTTGCTTATTAACAAGGGAAGTGATGATCTTCGTATAAAAGATAGTACCAAACCAGTTCCCTCTGTTAAGTTCAGATATTTGCTTTCCTCGCTGTACCTTGATGCAGTCTGAAATATCTCTTCTGTAGCCTCAATCAATCATCCAGGGCTGGAAGACCTAATGGGGAGCAAGCTGAATATTGGTCTTAGGGCTGTGGAGAGGCAGATGTGGGCTCCAGGTCAGAGAGATGCAGATGCATGCAAAAGAGAACAAAGATCATGCTGAGGGCTTTATCACTTGAAATCTTTTGCAAGAGGTGGAGTTGGGAGAGGGTGAGTTGGTTAGCTGGTCAAGGGAAGAGTCTGCTGAAGGGTAGCAGTGAGGACGCCGGCTGCTGCAGTAGCAAGTGCCAGCTGTTTATTCTGAGCCACTTTTTTGGCCCTGCAGAGAGACTGGAATACCAATCGTGTAGGTGGCTGTGGGGAACATGCCTGTACTTTGGAAAGCATGAAGAAGTGTGGAAGGAGGGGGAGAGGAGCATGGGTCAGTTTAGCTCTGTTGTGTAATAGCTGCAGATACCAAGTAAACTAGACATTTTATGGAAATATTGACTACCGGGTCAGAAAGTCTTGCCGAGGGAGTGTGCTACTTTGCAGAAAGCAAAGTGTGAAAGCTAAGTCTCAATATATTAGGCAGGGGCTGGAACAGCCAGAGGGACTGGCACAGTTTTAGTGACAGGTTACCATCTGTCAATAAACTCTGAAGCCTTTGTAAATCAGCATCTCCCTGGCAGCTGCTTTCATGGGGTATAATGCAGCACAGGGCTAGCTCAGCACAAAAAAAAAAAAAAAAAAAAAAAAACCGATTACTTCCTGTAGACCCCATGGGGGGTTTTTTTGCCCTTTTTTTTCCCAGCTCAGAAAGCAAAGTGTGAAAGCTAAGTCTCAATATATTAGGCAGGGGCTGGAACAGCCAGAGGGACTGGCACAGTTTTAGTGACAGGTTACCATCTGTCAATAAACTCTGAAGCCTTTGTAAATCAGCATCTCCCTGGCAGCTGCTTTCATGGGGTATAATGCAGCACAGGGCTAGCTCAGCACAAAAAAAAAAAAAAAAAAAAAAAAAGACCGATTACTTCCTGTAGACTCCATGCGTGGTTTTGTTGACCTGATTTTCTCCAGCTTTCGCCCTTGGTCCCAACCTGGGGTGCTGTCATGCCCAGCAGCCTAGCCCCAGGCCTCCAGCACACACAGCTCTCCCATTGCAGCATGTCTGACCTGCAGCATCCTCTAAGCTGGGGTTCTTGCCAGTTCTGCTGAGGCATCTCATTACAGGGACAACAGCTTTTATACATACGTAAAACACCATGTTTGTGCCCAAGCCATAACCAACTACTTGCCCTGAATCCTTTCTTCAGATTATGGGAGTACCCTTAGTTCATGCTCTGAGACTGCCTGCGGTGTGATGCAAGTCCAGCTCTACAGATGCCATTCCCTTCTGTCTGCACAGGACCTTTTTTGTTTTTCACTCGCCTTGTGTTGACCATTGCATAGCACTGTTAACTCTTCACCTAGCACCATCAGGTGTCTGCAGTCCAGCAGCCGTGTGGTGGTACACAGCACCATTTCGAAACCCCCAGGCCAGCTCACAGGGAGCTGGTGCGTCAGTGTGGCATGGCAAAACACTGTACAGAAAGTCTCTTTCATGGTAATGCAGACCATAGTGTTTCTGGAGGTGGGACACAGCAGGAGGTGGGAGATCTCCATACTGCCTTGGACTGCACAGTGTGTACCTGTCCTCTGACATTTCTGTATGGCACAGATGAAGCTGGATTCGCTCTTATCCTCTTCCAGTCTAAGAGCTGTTGGGCCTTAGAAATAGTGGGAGACGCACTTACAGTGTTATGGTTATGGTGGTTCAATTTCTGTGATTGCCCGTAGTCTTCAGCAATGATGGGATGATTAGCTATACATTGTTAACCTTGCCTGTTCCTGTGAAGTGATTATCCAGCCCTGGCTTCGTGTATCTTTTGGGGAAATGCACTGTGAAAGATTGCCAGAGCATTTGCTGTTCTGTTAAACTTAGTAGCATTAGCTGTAAAATTCAAGTTTTGGACTTTTTGAACACACACGTAGTTGATTCACTACAAACTCTTTTGTGGAAACTTATTAAAATATCCTCTGCAACTGCCCTTGCTCCACAGTGACTGTCAGTGAGAGGGCTGTATAGAGATTTATTTATAGGTAGAATGAGAACCATTTGCAAAGATACTAAATGTTGAATAAGAGCAGTGTTTTACTTAGCATTACCTAGTGCCGGAAATGCTGGCAGGCACCACAGAGAGAATTGGCCTTCCCATTCCAATTCTTTGTTTAGTCACTTGGAGTTAGGGTAACCTGATTTTATACACACAGTTGTATGTCTTCATTTCCTGAAAATCTCTCTGCTCCTGTTGCTGTGCCTCGGTGCTAATACTGAATTGAAATGAATGGAATATTCCAGAGCAATCTGGGTAATACAGCACTCCATGTTTGCAAGGCTGTTTACGGTAATGAGTCCTTTTAACGAAAATGTGAACTGAGCTAGATCTGCAGTTTCTGTAGGGCAGGAATCAAGGCTGCCCTTCGTGTTGTGGGAACGTAATGTGTGCTGGCTGGAATAATGTCCTGTCATGCTAATATTTTTTCCTTCTTTGGTGTTTCAAGGGCCTTAAACTCTGGAGTTGAGTACCACTGGGACCAGCTGAATGAGAACGTCTTCGCTGTGCATTCCAGCAGCAGGAGCACTGAGCGGCCTGGGTGAGTCTCCTGGGTTTGGGTTAGAGAGATCTGACCCTTTCTGCTGCTTTTGTTACATCTGACAGCACGACTTCTTTGTTCCTTTAGCACTGGCAGCTTTAAATATGCAATTTTTCCCCCCCTTTGAGACTGCCTAGTTGAGCTACCTGGCATGCTTCCAGCAAGTGACATTCAGTGCCCAAAAGCACTGCCAGTGATAGCGAAGTACATGTGTCATCCATGGCCTCAGTAACATTCGTGAGCAAGCTGCGGGAGGAACGTGTGGGGCTTGATGCATCAAAACCACCATGCAAAGTAAAGGACCTTTGGAGGATAACTGAAGAACACGGGGTTTCACAGAGATGAGTGCAAATCCCTTGGGTGGTCCTGGTGACTGGTTTTCGTCCTGTTAGTTTCTGGTCATGGGACAGTTGTTTCTCAGCAATAAACTCTAAAAATAAAGCTAAATCCCTTGACAGCCCTAATGGCTGCTTCATCCATTCTGTTTGGTGATGCACACATCAGTTACTCTAAACATGAGGATGATGCTGCAGTCCCTTGCTTCTTGCCCCACTGGCGCATACTTCTCTATAAGCCAGCTGTTCACAGCAAGAGGGCGACAGTCTCGTTTCTGAATTGTGAGCTCCAGGATCCCAAGGAAGTTATGAGCTGGTGTGCAGGGCAATGTCTGTGCTGTCCTACAGCCTTGGACTGATTGACGGTGAAAAATAAGCAGTAGAGATTCTTTACTCTGTCACGTGAGTGGATATTGCCACTATTCACGTTTTTTGACAGCACATATCAGTCTTGCATGAAATATAGCTCAAGAATGAACTAGCTCAAAGAGAGAGCAAGAAAAGTGTGGCAGGTTTCAAAACCTTATGAAAAAGGTTGTGAATGAGGCAATCTTTCCTAGAAATCTCTTTACCATTCCCAGCACTTACAGCCAGAGGTCAGTTTTGGAAAGAGCATCCAAGCATTGTCAAGATTCAGCTCTTGTAGCATCGTACACTTCAGTTGTTCGATCCTGAGAAGCTAATGAGCCTTGAGGTGGTTCCTGTTTGCTTTTGAGAACAGAGAAATTCTCTTGTCCAACTGGAACAGGCAGAAATGCCTGCTGGAGTGCATTCATGTGTGATGTTGACAAACTAGAAGGTCCAGAGGAGGGAAGGGATACAGGCTGCGTCCTTGGGAGTTAAAACCACCCTGCCAACGTGCAGAGGGAGGTTTGTGTGTGTGTGTTTGTGGTCCTGCGCTGCATGTTGTGTTGCCTACTCAGCTCGGTGACCCCAAGACAGAGTTGTTCTGCAGGCTGAGTGATGCTGCAGGGATATCTACCTATGCCTGTCAGACACGCCGCTTCTGTGGAAGGGTGAGTGGACTATTAGACTCTGTTGGCTTAAAACTCAAGAGACCAGCCAGCTGAGGCTGGAGAGGGTGTCTTGTGTGTGTGTAAATAAGTGCAGGTCACAATTCCCTCCAGCCCCATCTGCATAGTGGCTAGCAGGTGCCTGGTTGGAGTGGAGGCAAGAAGAGGCTCAGATGGATGCTTCAGTCTTGCTGGGGCATGTTGCCTCCAATGCTCCTGGTCTTATTTGTTTTTCTCTCTTTTCAGAACCAGCAGAGCCACATGGAGGACAGACAGGGACATGGGCCTGATGAATGCCATAGGCCTGCAACCCCGAAACCCCCCCACCTCTGTGACTTCGCAGGGTACCCAGACCTTGGCGCCTCAGCTGCAGAATGCCGAGACTCAGACAGAGAGGGAGGTACAGGAGCAGGAATCCACCTCTGCAGGGACTGGGGAAGGTAGGAGCTCAAGCAATGATTTACCTGACAGAGCTTACCTGGTGAATGAGGAGTTTCCACATCAGTTCCACATCCTATCAATGCAGTTGGACAGTCCTGTTATCTCTTCAGCAAAGATTTCTCCAGCCTAATTTGCCTGTAGCCAGGCCAAGATGATCAGGAGAGTGAACCTCTGTCCATATGAATAGAGAAGTTGTCTTTTTCACATGCTTTGAACTCTTCTCCAGATGATTGTGTCTTTGTAGAATCAGCTGTACTGGCATCACTCCTCACAAATCTCCTGAACTCTAACCATCAGTAAGGCTGCAAACTGTTAAGAATTATCCTTTCTGCCTCTGTGTTAGACTTTAGCTTGGTCCTTCAACCTCTGCATCTAAAACCTGTGCAGGCTTCACAAGCTCAGCATCTGGATACAAAATAAAATATTGTAAATCACTTCTCACAAAGCAGGTATGAGTATTGTGTCTAGTCTGGTTGATGAAAGCTGTGATGAGTGTCCAGCTCAGCTATTCAAAAATGCCTCTAGTGTTTTCCAGTCCAGGAAAACTTACCAACATGGAAAGAGCTGGAAGCTGATGTGCAATTCCTATATGATGATAAAGTCACTGATCTTTTGAAAGCATGATGATTTTGTCCAGGCTTCTTGTCTCTATACTGTAGCATTGTGCTTGAATCCAACTCTGAAGGCTTGGCTAGGAAGGAGTTGGGCAGTATATACATAGGAAAGAGAGAGAAAATCAAGGAGACAGTTTTGAAGTTGTTGGTTTGTGATGAACCCACTTGGCTTTGGGAGGCAGCCCGTGACATGCCTGTTTGTGGCTGTATGCTTACGTGTGCTCTATCACTCTGGAAGATGCTTTTCGGCATGTGACTCTTCCACAGTTTCTGCTGTGCAGCATCCAGCATGTGTGATAAGGCTTTGTGTTTCTCTGATCTCGGCTCTTCTGTTCAAAGTTAAGTGGCAAATTCCTGACCTGTGGGGTTTCCCATCTGCTTATCTCAGCAGAGCTGAGATTAACCTCTCTGGAAGGTTAGTACAGTTGAGGGCGTGTGAATAAGGCTGGACCATAGGATGTCTGGACAAATGTTGAACTTGTGGGAACTCGTTCTTCCACTGAATATGGTATGCAGACTGAGAACAGGGTACAGTGTGGGACCTTCTTGCATCAAGGCCATGATGGCTGATGCTGCAGAATCCCCCCCAATCGGGGGTCTTTCTCTGCTCTGATAAACCAGTCGAGTTCTCCAGTGCTGCTTCTCTCTGTTGCTGTTCTGCAGTCATCTGAAGGTTTCATTATCTTGTTCTTTCTAATTAACCTTTCAATTTTCAGATCTGGATCATGGTTTTTAACTAGACCATTAATGAGATGGCAAAGGGATGTCCTTTACCAATGCCTTGGGCAGGATATCTTTACAAAGAAGCAAAACATGTAGCATTTGGAAGAACAGGAGTGTAGATAACAAGCCTAGGACAGAGGCTTCTCTTTGTCTCTCTTTCTTGCTTGGAAGAAGATTGGTGGGTTCCACGTGGTGTGATTTCTGGCTCAGATGCTGACTTATCACATGTCCCCTTGCAAGTGGCCTCACCTACAAAATAGGCTGTCACACTCCTGTCTCCTATATAAGGATCTTTAGTAGTTATTCCAATATGGATGCATGCACTGGACATAAGCCAAGTGGTCTTACCCTGTAGTTGATCAGTTCTTATGCCAGTTGCATCCTCAGTGGAAATTCCTGTGCAAAGGCTCAAGGGCAGCTCAAAACAGGGAGCTGTCAAGACATTAACTATGAGGAACGTCTAGCATCCAAAAAAACAACTGTAATCCATGACAGAGGAATAGTACAAGGACCTATCATGAAGCAGAAAGACAAATTTTCAGCTCTTCTTACCGACACCTCAACCAGATAGCCAGGGACTTGTGGCATCGGTGGTCTGGTTCATCCAAGAGTCTTTGTGCCTCACATTACACTTGAGCCCCATTGCGCTGCTTGTGACGTCGAGGTTACTGTTTTTCCAGCAGCATAAACTCTTGTGATGCTTGTCCAGTGTGTTCAGGCGGGCTAGATTCAATGCTGTGCTGCTTTTCTGATGGTTAATTTGCCCACTGTATCTGCCATAACTCTTTGCCTGTTGAAAGGGAAACGGTGTTTCCTAATAGCAGGATCTAGATGTCAGGGACACAAAGGAGGAAAAAAAAGGAAAAAATGTGCTACCACTAACTTGGTGTTTGACCTAGGGCAAATTATCAATCATCTACCCAATGGGAATAAAGCTTCCCATAGTACAGTACCCAGGGGCTGTGAAGATTAATTAGTGTTTTGTATGGGGCTTTGAAGATGTAAATCACTACGTAAAGGCTTAGCAGTATTATCAGCAGCAGAATGGATAAATCAGATGTGATTCTGAGTAATGTAAAGGAAAGTGTTTTAGTTATCATCCCCCCTCATCATGAGGGGGGAAAAAACACAAAACAAAACCAAAAAAACCCCTTGAATGTTTAAAATCAAAAAAGAAAAAAAGAAAGGCTAGTGCTACCCCAAGAGTGGGTTTCTATCCTGTGTCCTGTCAGCACCGCTGTTGTGGGGAATTCTGGCTCAGGGCACTTCTTGCAGATATGTGCTTACTGTACAAAAAAAAAAAAGGTATGCAGAATTGCATCAGAAATCTAATTAAGCTCTGTGCGGGTATAAATAGTTTCCTTTTCTCATGCAAAGCTCTGCGGGGACTTTGCTGTTCTGATTATCTTTCTACCTCCTTTGGAGGAATGAGTATATGATGACTTTATTAGAATCCCTCTAATGTCTGTATCTTTTTGTTTTGCAGCAGTTGATAGCTGCCTTCTGAACTCTGCTCCCAAGCCACACATAAACCAAAGGAAGTTAGAGTTGAGAGGAAACTAGGAGAGGTACCAAGAAATGCCTAAAACAGTGTTTCAGCTGTCTCCTACTTTTCTTTTAAGCTGACAGACATAGTGGAAATAGTGATAGAGTTGTAACTTCAAGGCACTCTTAATTAGAAACAATCTGTTGGGAGTTACGGTATGCCTTCCCTTGCAAATAGACAAGCATGATGGGGGGGGGATCTGTGTTCAACTGGCAAATTCAATCTCACTTAAAAAAACAACAAAAATTCCTAATGAAATTTAATGGCCCAAAGCTTTAACCTTTAGAAATTGTAATTGCCAGTCCAGACTGGGTCAGGCTGCGGCTGCCACTCTTCAGGCTGCTGGATCTGTGGAGTAGGATGCAAGTGGCAGTAACTGTCAGGGACTGCAACTGTGCAAAAGGTGCTGCAGGCTGAGGGAAAGGGACCTTTGCAGAGCTGCAGGACATTTGATTGTGCACCATGCTGTCCCCTGGCTATTGAAAGTATATCAATATATCTTTCAGGTAATCCAGTTGTTTAAAAAGAAAAAAATAACCCACACTCAGAAAAACCTTGATGGAAATAACTGAAAGGCAATTGTCACCTCAATTCCTATCATCTGCATTGTCTTTGGGACTTAAAATTCAGATAGCTAGCTCAATGCTCATTGTGCAAGTAGGCACATGTTATGAACTACTGAAATTGTAGCTGTCGGAAGACTTGCTATCAGTGGATTGCTACTTTGCCTGTCTTTGGGGGAGCAACATATTGACTACTGTCATGCCATATACAGTTTTTAACCTATTTGGCTGAAGTGGTTCTCACCAGCCTGCACAAATTTCCATCACGTCCAACTGCTTTCAGAGGTTGCAGCAGATACTTTTGAGAGGGAAAAGGGTTGTAAAATGAAGGCTTTGTGGGATTCAGTCTGTTCAAACTGTTAGTAGTGAAAAGACAGCACATGCAAGTGAAACTTTCCTGGTATAAGCAAAGCATCCTGAGGATGCCTAAAGAGCACTTACAAGCAGAGTCAGTGTGCCTGCATGTGATGTAACTTCTTTATCTGAGACCTTAGGAACGTGTGCTGGGGGCATGGGCAAGAATACCCTGTCCCCAAACGAACCTCGTGAATGCTAAAAAGAAACATGTTGTTTTATGTTAGCTGAACGTGTTCTTGCAATGCTGTTGTCAGATGTGATATGACTTCTGTGCGATAGGCGTGGAAATGGGAACCAGGACACCAGGGAACAGCTTTCCAGATCTGCCTCTCATTCTCCCAAGTAGAAACATGGGTAGATCCCTTAGCCTTTCATCTGCCCGTCCATCTGTAAAATGTGCGTCATATGTCCTATAGAACTGCAGATTTCGGTTTCTCTTTAAAGCTCTCTGAAAAGCACTACCTAAAAAATAGAATCAGGTTCTAGAAGCATGTACTACACAAGCCTTTAGAGTGTGAGCTACTCCAAGTACCTGGCTCTCTTGGGATTAAGTGACGGGGGCTACTTTTAAACTCGCATTACAAAAATAAATTTCATGCATACAAATCACCAAGGTGAGATATTGCTAAGAAATTTGTTACAAGTCAAAGCAGTTGTGTCACTGTTCTGTGGAGTTGTTTGGATTAGCTGCCTCAGAAAGGAAGGGTGAACATGCTTCTGAGCTCGGTCGGGGAGAAAAGTAACTGGTAGTATTTCTTCTGGCACTAAGGGAGATGTGATTATTCATAGCTGGTTATGCTGTGCTATGACCCTCCCTTTCCTATTCTCATGCAAGGAGTGAATTAATTTTAAAATGCTGGTATTTTTATCTTTGAGCATCTGAATTAGTGGGTCAGCTCACACCTCAGAGCTATTATTCCATGTTCTCTGAAGACTTAGATATCTCTACAGTGCTTACTCTTAGTTCTAATTTTGCAGCTTTGTTTGCAAGCATGGCTACTAACTACTGCTGGTTTTAGAAAGAGGAAAGCTGAAAATAGGAAAAAATTCAAGAGCAAAGTCAGTATATCACACAGCCACAGAGGAGCGTGATCTCATCCTTGCTTCTGTGGCCTTTGGTGTTTATTAGGTGTGTGCTTTCCATGCCCAGAGATAAACAAGTTGTACTCCATGTAAGTACTTCAGAGACCACTTCATTTAAGAGTGGAAATGCTCCTGCCTTATGCCCAGCCCCATTGAAAGTTTGCCAGATGTTTCGCCTTTGTAGTCTTCTGTGTCAAACTCTTGTCTTGCTGGAGTAGTGTGGCAGAGGACTTCTAAACACAGATGCATTAGCTAGGGAATATTTTGTTAAATGTTGGAGCCAGTCAGCTAGATTGACAGAAATCCCCTGGTCTTTGGGATAATTACTCTCACGAGTAATATTTTGTGTCTGTGTTTGGGATAGATGGGATTTTGGACCTCTGGAAAGGTCACTTCAGTTAGAGTAGAAAAGGTTTGTAGGAACACAGCACTGTGGACACAACACTAATACTTAATTGTATTGCAGACAGGAACCACGGGTGATGCTTTTCTGTCCTGTCAGGCACAGAACTTGTGTCCCTGTCCAGAAAAAGGTGGAGGCTGTGTCTCAAGATTGCTTCCTGCTCTGTGATGGATTCTGATACAGGGACACACCTTGGCAGGTGTTAATCCTTACACCGGTGCTTCACACACTGTAGCTGGAGCTGGTTAGCTCAGTTTTCTAGATTTTGTCTGTAGTGCTCTGTGAGGTTTTTCTATTTTTCTGACCCTAGAAGGTAGGCTTAGAAAAATGAGAGCTTAAGATAAAGGATTTTACAGAGCCTGGGAGAACGTAGTTTTGAGCATAAAATGAGAGAAGAGGAATTGCCTTCTCCATATGGAGAATTAGATGTGCCTTGGCCAACTCCTGCACAAGCTCAGGTTCATGCTCTGGATGTGCCTAAACTCTTTGGAGACTGAAAAAAGTGTCACGAGTATGGGGTTTCTCTCTGTCCTGGTTTTGTTCAGCTGGTGGTGAAGGGAATGGGGTTTGGCCACTGCAGCAAGTTGAAACTTCTGGCGATCTGAGGTGTGGGGTTTACGGCATTGCTGTTGTTTTGGGTAGGTGCCTGTGTGCACACTCAGAACCTCTACCAGATGGAAGTTAGCTTATTTCACTTGCGCTGAGTACTAATGTAGCCTGGTGAAGGAACGTGTGTGGGAGTCACCAAGCAGTAGACACGGGCCGTATGCGAATCTGTGCTGTAGCTCAGCTCAAGGCAAATCACGCAGGAAGCTTTGCTCTGAACCAGTCAGCCAAAGTCATTGTCGAAACCTGAAGGGGGAAGGGGGAGGACAACCCCCAAAGCAGAGGTGCTTTTTGGCTGCTTGAATTGTGAGGCTCACTTCTGGCCTTTGACGGGCTGTCTTTCTGGAATTTCCAACACTGCTGTATCTCTGTGCTCATAATCTGAAGGCTCATGACTTGCTGATTTCTGCTGTGGGATCAGCCCTTGCCTGTTTTCTGAGCAAGCAGCTGCCTCAACTGGAAATTCAGCCATGGCACATGGTAATTAAGGGGCAGGGAAGAGCAGGGAGTGCTGTGGTGTGCACTGCCTGCATGGACTCCTCTGGTGAAGCGCATTTGTAATGCTGAGGAGCATTGGCTGGGGATCCTTGCTGATTCGCTGTTCCAATGCTCCTGTATTGGGCTATTTTATAGTAAGTCATCTGTGAAGAGCACAGTACCTGCTGTTTCAGGACTTGTGTAGATGGGGCTGACTGGCATGTCTCTAAGCCAGGTTGCACATCTTGGCTTTCTCAAGTTTCCTCTCTGGCCTGGCCAGATGGTTGGTAACAAAGTGCTTACGACTGTGCCCTCAGAAGGAAGCAATGACTGAGTCCAAAACTATGCTTCTCAAACCTTCCACTTACTTCTGCTCATGATTAATGCTTCAGTATCCCCTGGCATGCATGTTTTTCACACTGGAGTTTCCAGACTAATAGCTGCCTCTGTCTGTCTGCCTCAGCCTTTGTGCTGGTCAGCTAGGTTCCTAGTTCATGCATCAGCCACATCCTGAACAGGATTTCTCTGCTAGAGTTGTGGGTCAGGCTCTGCCCAGGGGGGTATTCTTGCTCACTCCTCTAGGTTCTGCTCCAGGTTCTCATGTGGTTATCGGTGTCTCTGTGGTCTCACTGATGCTCTGACCAAGGAGCTATGTAATTGTTGTATGTATAGTGGATATAGCAGGCTTACTACATTCCTAGCAGAAAGGGACTTATTCTACTTGTGAGAATTAAACTTGCCCTTAATGTCCATAGTATTTCTACAGCAGGGCAGTATGTCAGCAGACTTGCTTGAAGATGAAATTAGCTGTACCCTGTGGTGGAGGAAGCTGGTGGTGTTTGATGCAAGTACCACTGAGCCCATGAGGAAAGGGAATAAGCTGCCACTGAGTGACTGCACAACATGTTAGCAGCTTTAACTATCTTGCTTTTTTAAAAAATAACCTCTACAGTGGCATGTTGTAGACTGTGCTGAATACCCCGGCTCTCACATTGGATACATGATCTCCACCCCACAGCCCCAAGCGGTTTTGTCTTCCTAGTCAGTGTGGCATTTGGTTTTTATTGTGTTTTAACTCCTGCCTTCATCTAGCCTTGTTGACATTTGTGTTCATTTCCTTGGTGCCAGGAAAGCTCATGGCTTTCTCCTCTCCTCTAATCAGCACTGCAATGGCTTCATGGAGCTGGGAGTGAGATTTATCTCTTTAATAAAATCATCAGGATCCCACTGTGGAATGATTCTAGCAGTTTATGATTACAGATTGTTTTCCCCAAACAGTCTGGGTAGGGTTTGTAGCAAAAGGAGGATGCTGGGAAACAGAACTGGGCTGGACTTTCCTGCCATGGGGATTTAATCTCCTACATGGACTATTTTTCCAACAGATTTTGTTCTTCAAAAGTAATCTCCAGCAACCAAGGCTTCTGACGGTGGTTCCCTCAGAGGTCAGTACAGCCTGACTATGAAGGGAAGGCTCAGAGATAAAGCAGGCAAAGACTCTAGATCTTAAGCGATGTTTTTTGTATTCCTCAAAAGATATCAGTCAAGGGGAACAGGAGCCTACACGCTTGATCTTTCCTTGATCATAGGTGATGTGGAAGCACAGATTGCATTCTATAGCTACTGTCTGCTCTTGACCAGCTGCCTGTGTCCTCCCTGATAACTGGGGAGATTGCCATCATGTCATCTGCCTGGGGTGTTCTCAAACAGGTGAAGTAGGAAAGGCCACAGGACTCTTTAACACCATGGTGAAATGTTTTGTTTATTGCAGTGCAAACAGGTTTTTCTTTCAGCCCCTGTGGGACTGGCTGGACTGTCTCTGCAGCTGTGAGAAAACACACTGCCTCTTTGACTCCTCTTTTCTCCCCACCTCTATGGGTAGATAAGAGCTGCTTCTCCAAGGCTTGGACATGCAAGTCTGTGAGGGATACCTGTGGGAGTGGCCAAGATTTTCTTGACAGAGTTCAGTGCCTTTGTTTGGCACTTCACCAAAAGTTATGGAAATAAAATGTTGGGCTCCCTCTGGAACAAAATCCATCTTCTGTCCCAGCACATCTGCACTGTGTGATGCATCTACCCAGCGTGCTTTCTCTTTGTCTTGTAGTTTGCCTTGTGCACCAAAGTTGCTTCTGCTTTCTCTTGCAGGTGAAGGTCCAGAATACGGGGCCAGCGGGGAGGATGCCCTGAGTAGGATCCAAAGGCTGATGGCAGAAGGTGGCATGACTGCCGTGGTCCAGCGGGAGCAGAGCACCACCATGGCATCCATGGGCGGCTTTGGCAACAACATCATTGTGAGCCACCGGATCCACCGCAGCTCTCAGACTGGTGCAGAGTCCACCGGAGCTGAGGGCACATCAGCGCAGCAGTCCACCTCACAGCAGCTGGCAGCTGAGCTGGAGGGACGGATCCTTTCAGAGTCTATGCAGCTGTCAGAGCACGGCCTGAGCCCGCGGACAGCCCCTAGCGGGAGTGAAGGACAAAGCGCTGGTGATCTGGACCTGCCAGAGCAGGCCCAGTCCTCCATGGACACTGAGGGACCAATTGAATACAGTGACCTAACTAATAATAACCATCTTCCTGACAGTACCAACTTCTGTAGTAATGACAGCACCAGTGGGGAGTCGCGGAACAGGTAGAGATTGAGTTGTGTGTTGGTGCTACCCTTGTACTGCTCAGCAGAGACCTGTACCTCACAGCTGGCCAGGAGCTGGAAGAGTAGGGACGTGTGGCTCTGACAGGATGCTGGTGGTTCAGAGGGCTTCTCTATCCTAGATGAGTGGGAAGGGTTAAGGACTGCAAGGGAAGCCACGGGGAAGAAAGTGTACTTAACTTCCAACATTCGCACTGCTGAAGAGTTAAGAGGAATATGAACCATACTGGCTGCACATCATGCAGATTTTGAAGCCCCATGGGATCCCCTGAGCTCAGCCCTAACTCTGCAATTCGGTCAGTGTCATCCTTTGTAAAGCTTCTTTCCTTTCCTCTTTCCTGCCCTTTTATGCCCAGGGGCTGATCAGTAGAATGAAGGGAAGAGGGTCTGCAGCATCTGTCTGGAGAAGGCAGTCCTACTGGGCGTGATGCTCCAGCTCTGTTGCTGGAGTGGAGGAGTCTTCCAGGCCACAGTCCCGCTCCGTGGCACAGCACTGCTCCCCCCTCAGAGTGTGGTGTTCTGAGGCCCGTCCTGCCTGTGCTGTGGTCTTTTCTGGGAAGAACTGGGCTTTGCCAAAGCCTGCATGGCTCAGGATCTGCTCACAGGTGGGGATCTTTCCTTTTTAGAGAGTTAGTTTAGTACTTGGCAGGAACCTAAGCAGAGCTGCTGTATAGATGGGTAGAGGGACAGGGGCTACTGCTCTCTAGTCAGGATGCAGTTCACACAAGGATGTTCTAAGCTGTGCCAATATTAACATGAATGAGCCATCCCGGTGGTTTCATGGCGCCAGGACTGAGCTGCACCTCCTTGGCAGGGGGCAGGAAATGTCTTTCAGCTCCAGGCCAGGGTGTGAGGTATGGGTCTGTGATGTAAGGTGTTGCATGTGAAATCTTGACCTTGTACATGTAGTTTCTAGTGGAGAAATCAAGGCTCTGATATTTTGTTTTTAGTCTCAAATGTGATTTTCCTTTTCGTTTGTAACTCTCCATCCCTAGCAGGCTTGTGGAGGAAGGACGGGGAGACCGTGAGTGCTAACGAGGGAAACACCAAAGATCAATGTCATTAAAATATGACAAACCCTTGCTTGACCTGCTGTCTTCATTTGTGTGATGGTTGTCTCTGCGTTCACCCTTGGGATAGGTACATCCAGCTCAGAAGCTCAAGGTAGCTTACACATGTCAGATGGTGATCACCCCCTTCCCAGGAGGAAAGCAGGCTCAGCCTTTGAGTTGGAAGCCCCAAACTGGGAAACGGAGAGGAGCATTTGGGAGTCTTGATTGCAAATTGTCTTTTAACCAGTCTGGAGCTGAGCAGGCACTTCTGTGTTTCCCATCATTCAAATACTGCAGTAGGAAGAAAGAGGAGCATTTCTCCTCTTCCACTTAAAAAGGCACGTAGAGATGCAGCACTGTCTATCTTAGGCAAGACCACTTAAGCAAGTGGCCTGTCTTGCTGACCTCTCAAAGCAGAAAAAGGGTGCAGTATCTGGCTGTTTTGGATAAAGGAATGCACGCCCCAGTGTTACCATTCTGCGGTAAGGGATGCTTCCCCTGCTGTCTGAGCACCTGCTGGCAGCTGCTGCGCTCCTGCCCGGCTCCTCTAGACTCTGCGCTGCAAAGACATTACAATAAATAAGGCTGTCATTAGGCAGCACTCAAGCTCCCAGTCAGAAGAGTCTGTTAGAGAACATTAAGCAAATCTTCTCTTAAATCACAGCCTGGAAATGAACTTTAAATCAAATCAGCTGCTGCCAGGCCTCATTGCAGAGTGTTAATGAGGCTCTAAAACCTGCCCTGAGCCAACCACATCCCTGATCTGACAGGAGAGCAGCCTGAAAAACGGGATTCCCATGTGTGGTGAGGAAGGTTTCATGCATCCCTGTATTGCCTCAGTGTGGGGTGGCCTGAGGATGTGCTGGCAGGTGGGAGCCAGAGGAGCTATGTCTCAGCTGAAGACTTGGGCAGACAGGGCGGTGCAGGTCTAGGCAGAGCTGTTTACTGCTCTGCTTGAAAACAAAGAAAAACAGAGCCTGGAAAAAAACCTGCTTCTGCTTCAGCTCAGCCTGGCATCTCCTCTTCCCTCTCCCTGCACGATTCCTGGAAGAGGCTTGAGGCCCATTCTTGGTAGATGTGTTGCAGAGCATTTACAGATGTCCATTTCCATAAGCCAGAGCCAGACTACCTACGGAAAAATTTCCATCGCGGTTGGAGAAAGGTCTTATGGGATTTCTTGCTCTAGTGTGGGCAGATTCTCAAAGACCTGGCACGCACCGTTGCTGGGCACTCTGGCCTGGCTGCTGTGCAGAGGCCTGAAGACTGCTCTGCTGAGGACTTCCCTTTAGTCCAGATCTACCCCCATTGGAGACGATGGCAGAGTGGGCAGCGAGCTTCGGTGGGAGCAGGAGCAAACCCCAGCTGCTGTCTTTGACATCGACTCAGGACATCTCTGAAGCTCCAAAGCAGCTTTTCATTAAGGCTTGTAGGGGAAACTCTTCCAGATGAGGTAAGGATGGAGGCGTGATCAGAGCAGGCAGCTTTGATGTTTCTCCTAACCCACTTTGTAGCTCTGGGCCAAAGGCTGGTAACAGCTGCAGCCCAACTCCCGTGTTCCTAGAGGCTTTAAGCAGGAACAGTGGGTGTGGGTGGGCTTAATCTTCTGATGCTGCCTTGGATGTGCTTTGTAGATGACCTGCTGTGGCCACACAACTAAGGAGGTGCTGTCAGTGGTGGTGGGCTTGTATGTAGAGAAAGTAATGCTTTTTTTTCCCCCAGACCTAGAATCTGCCAAGCTCAGTTTCTGTCCTTGCCTGAGACCTGACAGAGGGAGGTGGGTGAGTGGGAAGAGAGGGGACAGGAGGGAAAACTGAGCACACTTACGCCATGGGCTCACTTTTTTCCCCTCCAATGCAATTTATTTCTTACGCCTTCCATGCTTCTTGTGAAACAAAACTCTCTCTCTGCCTTGGATGACCCTGTTCTGGCCTAGCAGTCTCCCTTGGTTGGTTTAGGCAGGGCTGAGCTGACCTGTAACCTCGAGCAACACCCCTGAATCGGCATGACGACCTGAGGCATGGAGCCCTGCGCAGAACAGGAGGCGGTGGGGTTGCCTGCGTCCAGGACAAGCGCAGCAGCAGCACAGGGCTTCTTCCCCCAGCCTCGCAGCTTACCTGCTCACTGCAGTGGGATAATGCAGCGCCGAGGCAAACGCCCTACCAGGAGCAACGTGGAAATTCAATAAGAGCTGCCTGAGGAAACCAAACCAGAGCTGTGCATGCTTGCTGGCCCAATTTAGGAGGCAAAATGAGAGCATTGCTGCTTAGGAGCAGGAAACAATCTTAAAAACCAAAAGCTTTTCTCAGCCTTAGCCTGTCAAGAACCTTTAAACGTGCTAACAAAATCCTGGGGAAAGGAGAAATACAGCGCAGGGAATTTTATTTAGCTTTCAAAAGGCTTTTGATAAAGTCCCTCACAAGAGGCTATTAAAGAAACTTAGTCACCTCAAGGGTGAGGAGTAGAGCCCTCTTGGAGATGGAAGCTGTTTGAGGTGGGAATTGGAGTCAAAAGTAACAGCCAATTCTTGGTGTGGAAAGAGGTTAATGGTGGGTTGGTTGGGTTCGGTAGGAGCCAGTGTTCTCTAAAAGCCCTAACGAGCTGGAAGAGGAGGGGAACAGCTGAAAATACATGATTATTTAGGTTAGCTAGGAGGAGAGAAGGTGCTGGTAGCCAGGCAGCGGGAGGAGGTAATGGTTGGAGCTGCTGTGCTGGAAGGGGGCTTTTGTGTGAATCCTTTACAGCGCTAACCTGCACGGGCACCGCTGCAGCCAGTGAATGCTCCGGCACCCCTGGGACTGGGACCAAACCAGCCGGTGAGCACTGCCTGGAGGGGAGACCTGGGATCCCACGGGGGGTTGCTGAAGCCCTGCCAGGTGGTACAGCAAAGCGATGAGACCTGCTTATCCCGATGAGCCCTGTGTTTTCTGCTCTCTCTCCTTTGCTGGCCTGTTGCTCCATCTCCAGCACCTCCATTTGACTCTCCCTGGAAGTCCCACACCATACCCACATGTGGCCAGCATGAGGTATCTGTGGGGTGTCCCTATAGCTGGGTGGTGCTGGGACCCCAGCTCTACACGAGAGCCAGAGGCTGTGCTGGGCAGGAAGGAGACGGCAGGAACCAGGTCACAGCTGGGCACGTGGGGAGTCTCTTGCCCCTGGTGGTACTGGTGCCGAAGCCAAGCCCTGTAGCCGGCCCCTCTGCCCACCGCTCAGGCTGCTGGCTGGGGAACAGCTGCCCTCTGCTTGGTCCCAATCTGTCAGAGAAGCTGTTTTCCAACAGGAAAAGGCAATTAATTAAAGCGTGCAGCATGTGAGCCATCCACCTCTAATTGGGATCTCAGTGTGCAGCACGTAAATGTCATGCCGCTGCTGCCTCTGTGTGGAGGGGGCCCTCGGCACAAGAGGGGGCCGAGGGGGGGCACTGGCAGCCTTTCATTTCCAGCTGCCACCCTCTGCCAGCCAATTAATGTCAGTGCCCCTTTCTCCTCGCCCCCGGGAGCAGAGGCCTCTCTCCTCTGCCCTGCTGCCGCTGCACGGCTCCTGCCGCGGTAACAGGCGGGAGGCTCGTTACAGCCCGCTCGGGGCACTCCGGTGAGCACAGGGATTTGTTTCCCCACAGCGTCTCGGACAGAAGCGCCTCTCATCTGTTCTCGGTTAGCTCTTTTGGCTCCTGTTTGTTTTGCCTTTCAAGCGGTTGTTGCTGGCGCACTGCACCGGTAGGAGCTGTCGGGGACGTCCCCGGGATGCCAGCACCGGGCATCGGGTCCCTCCCAGCCAGGAGCTGGCATGCCAGAGAGGGCACCATGAGGCTTCCCTTCTGCCTCCCATCTGAAAATCAACATGCTGTTGCTTGGCCTCCAAGCATCCACCCTCCGTGCCGGGGTCTTGCCTGCCAATTCTGGCCAGACTCCTCCAGTTCAGTGGTGCCATGTGGGAGGGACTGGGGGGCCCAAGCGCTGCATGGGCAGGGCTGAAACGACTCAGTGGGACAGGCAATGTGCAAGCGATGGGAGATGGGAGCTCAGCAGGGAGCAAATGCCACTGCTGGAAGAGGCAGCCAGACACCGAGGTCTCCAGGAGGACCCGTTGGTGAAAGCGGACCAACACGTGTGTGGAGAGCTGCAGCGGGGCTCTGCAGCCCCACTGAGCCTTCGCTTCAGCTGTGGCTGGCAGGACGATGAGCTCTGGGCTGGCATGTGGTTTTTGGCAGCCGCTGAGGTTTCTCTTTCTGTCCTTGTGTCCGGCCCTGCTCCAGCTTGGCTGGTGGAGTTGGACTCTGGAGTCCCTACTCTTTCCAAGCTCAGGAAACACCCAAGGCTCCCTGTCCCTCCACCTTTACCCTCTGTGCTCCTAACTCCACCTTTACAAAGTCTGGGGTAAATAGCAGACACTGTGCACGCTGTGCAAAAACATGAGATGTCATAGTAATTTAGGCTTGGTCCTTTCTATTTCTTAGGCTCAGCTACGTGTCCAGGCCAATATTCCCACCCACGTGGGTGCTATGGGTACACCACTGCTACGGCTTTCCCCAGACCTTTCTCTGTGCCACGCGAATGGCAGACCAGCAGAGCTCCTGGTTAGGTGCCTGTCACTTTGAGCATTGCTTGGCACACACAGCAAATGCTGTCCTTGTGTCTGCACTGCTCTGTGCAGCTGCTGGGGAGAGTCTTGAACACCTGGGAGAAAACAGGAGACCAGGATGGATTATGGGGGGACCCCGTAGCTACTCTGTTGTGAGTAAATCAGGGGAAGGGAGAAGAGGGGAAAGGAAGCAATAGGGGTTCAGCTGACAGTTCCTAATGTGCAGTGGGCCTGGCACAAGTGTGGCTGTGGGGCTTGTGTGCTCTCCATTGCTCACT